AGCAACATCATATGACCCCTTTAATATCCAGTCCATAAATCCCATTACAGAAATCCAAAGATATGAAAATTCTGGCCAATACAGATAAGCTGATAATTATTGTAATGTTATGGCCAATAACAATAAATAGTCAATATTACAATTTGCCACTATTTAACTAATTCGGCACTAAAGACTAAAAACTAAAATCAATAATTTTATATTCTACAAGTGAATTTAGGTCATACAAAAACATAAAAGTACAATATGAAAAGTGAACATTTATTTTGATATTTATTAAAGATTACATCTAACTGTATTGTTAAATGTTTAGCAATTATATAAATTATATATAATTTAAAAACTCTCTAACATTGCTTGAGAACTGATATGATACTATTACCCACCCAGCTAAAACATGTGGAGACTTCAGGCTACCTAGATGTGGTGACCTAAACCTTCCAAGCTAACACACAAAACCAGAAGAAGCTGTTGTTTTAAAATAACAAAGCCCAGCTGGAACACAAACAAAAACCTCACTGTGCACTTTGCAGATGCTTGTAAATGTTCACAGTCTTTGTTGCAATAGTGACACAAGTTTGCATTGCAAACATACTTTAAACTGCACAGGTAGCAAAAGAAAAACAAAATAAAAAGAGAAAACTTCAAATAAGAACCTGAAGAAAATAAGATCCTAAGGAACTGTAATTTTAACAGCTTGAAAGTGAAAAGTGAAAGTGACGTGACATGTGGCCAAGTATGGTTACCCATACTAGGAATTAGTGCTCTGCATTTAACCCATCCTAAGTGCACACACACAGCAGTGAACACACACACACCGTGAACACACACCCGGAGCAGTGGGCAGCCATTTATGCTGCGGCGCCCGGGGAGCAGTTGGGGGTTCGGTGCCTTGCTCAAGGGCACCTCAGTCGTGGTATTGAAGGTGGGAGAGAGCGCTGTACATTCACTCCCCACACCTACAATCCCTGCCGGACCTGAGACTCGAACTCACAACCTTTGGGTTACGAGTCCGACTCTCTAACCATTAGGCCACGACTTCCCCACTTTGTACAACTAACTGCTGGAACAGAGAGATAGAATGAGACAGTGCTTGGATGATTTTCATAAACTATGCCATGGATATGCAACTGGCTGTCAGAACAGCCCTTTTAAGAAACTAATATTAACAGACATTACGTAGGGTCGACTACACCCTCTCTGTCATACAAAGACCACTGTGTTTCAGTCTAATGAAGCCCTCAAGAATCTTAATGATAGATGTGCGAATGAAATTAACCTTCAGATCCCAACAGAAAGGTTACATTTGTGATATTTTGGCCTTAAAAACCCAAATATCAAATATTTGTATGTGGTCTTAGATGCTAAAGCATAGTTTGGGTTTGTACATTCGCCCAACTGCAAACATTCACCACCACAGCTGGCACCTAATGCCAGTCGGTGTGTGTGTGGTCTCGGAATAGTACATAACCATTCATGTATCATGTGGTCAATAAATCTAACCAGCCATTTGCATATTTGTAAGCCAATACTTTAGCTGTAGCTTAAAAAATCTTCTTTAAACTTCAAGCTTGCAGCTTGACTGAGGAGAAAGCCACTGGGTTGACACCCAGTGAGATCATCTCAGAAAGAGTTGAAGTTGGGCCAGTACCCGCATGACGTTGTCGAGGGTGAAGCCAGAGTCCTTGGTGCCCAGCTGTTCTAGAAGCTTCTCCAGCAGTTCCAGTCTGCTCAGTGCCAGTCTAGTGGGTACACTGCTCTGCATGGCCCTCACAAGCTCCACAGGAACCATCTGCAGAGCTCTCACCTCCCTAAATAAAGCCATTTCCTGCCAAAACAAACATCCAAGCGAGCTTTAAACAACAGCATTCAAGTTATAAAACACAAACTTTTTCTTATGCACTTATAAATTCTCAAAAATATATTGAAAAACCATATGTAAATATTTATATATAAAAAATATATTTCTGCGATTTTATTGCTGGAGGTAGGATGGCAGGTTGCTGTACATTTGGTAATAAGCATTTTTACTGCTAGTTGCTCTATTGTTATTAGTGGGCAGCATATTAACACATTTATATTAACACAGCATATTAGCAAATTTTTTCACACTTTGTTATGTTGCAGCCTTTTGTTTAGTTGCTTTAAATTACTTTTTTCCCCCACATCAATCTACACACCATACATCAAAATGACAAAGCAAAAACAGAATTGTCACAACTTTGTAAATGTATTAAAAATAAAAAACTGAAATAAGTACATGGCATAAGTATTTATACCCTTTATATACTTAGTTGAAGCACCTTTACAGCCTCAAGTATTTTTGGGTATGATGCAACAAGCTTTGATCATCATCATTTGGCAATTATCTGCCATTCTTCTCCTCGCCATTTCACCTCTCAAGCTGTCAGGTTGGATGGGGGCAGACGCACATTTTCAGGATTCTCCAGAAATATTTGATTGGGTACAAGCCCAGGCTGTGGCTGGGCCACTCAAGGACATTCACAGAGTTGTCTATATAAGCTGTGTGCTTAGGGTCATTGTCCTGCTGGAAGGTGAACCGACTGCCCAGTCTGAGGTTCTTAATGCTCTGGACTGGGTTTTCATTAAGACTATCTCAATTTTTTGGTGCACTGAGCTTTCCTTCTTCTCTGACGAGTCCCCCAATTCCTGCCGCTGAAAACAGCCCCTCAGCATGAGGCTGCTACCAGCACACTTTACTTTTGGGATGATGCTGTGCAGGTGATGAGCAGTGCCTGGTTTCCACCAAACATGATGCTTGGAATTGAGGTTCATCAGACCAGAGAATCTTGTTTCTCACAGTCTGAGTGTCCTTTAGGTCCTTTTTTTTTGCAAATGCCAAGTAAATACCAAATAATGTGTTTTCATGTGTCTTCACTGAGGAGAGGATTGAGTCTTGCCACACCGCCATAAAGCCCAGATCGGTGGAGTGTTGCAGTGATGTTTGTCCTTCTGTAGGTTTCTCCTATCTCCACATATAATCATGGAGCTCAACTAGAGTGACCATCAGGTTCTTGGTCACCACTCTAACTAAAGCCCTTCTCCATCGATCTTCTCCATCGATTGTTTGGCCAGGAGACAAGCTCTAGGAGTCCTGGTTGTTCCAGACTTCTTCCATTAAGGGTAACTGAGACTACATGCTAATGTGAACCTTCAATGCAGCAGAATTTTTCTGAACTCTTCCCAAGATGTGTGGCTTGATGCAATCCTGTTTCTGAGCTCTACAGGCAGTTTTTTTGACTTGGTTTTTGCTCTGATTTTATTTATGACCTTTTATTGAGAGCTGTGTGCATTTCCAAATCATACCCATTCAATTGAATATGCCACGGGTTAACTTCACACGGAGTGTAGTAACATCTACAAGCAATATGAATGCTTCTGAGCTCAATTTCAACTGTACCAGATAAGGGTATGAATACTTATGCAATGGAATCAATTAAGTTTTTTATATTAAATTTGCAAAGATGTTAAAAAACTGTATTTTGCTTTGCCATTATGGTGTATCTAGTGTAGATTGATGTGGGGAAAAAAGTAATATAAAGCAGTGTAACATAAGGCAGCAACATAACAAAATGTGAAAAAAAGGCACTGTATGTGAACTCCACTGTCTTTGTTCTCATTGGTGATTACATCACTGCTAATTTGCAAAATGCTAAACTCTGCTTAAAGTTTGTCAAATAGTCAAGTACACCCAAATACACTGCCAACGGCTGCTGTCACTCATGTCATGTCAAATCGACAACTCTCGTCACTGTGGACCCCCTTTTAGACACACTAAATCATAGACATTTTTTGAAGACATTAACTGATATTCATGTATTCGCCAAGAAAGACGGCAATGATTGTATGTGTTATTTCTAGAAGAGGGTTGAGAATGATATTTTAATTTCTTTAATCAATAATGAGTGATTATGATTTAACATAAAATTGGGTTGCATGATTTTATAATAGGGCTACTCTACAGCATTGATATCAGAGTACATCATCAAATTATTCATAAAAAGGTGTGGTCTTTGATTTACTTTTTCCACCATCCAGAAGCATGAGTCACAAATGTCTTTATTTATACAGTGCAAAATACAATGAAGTTTCCCCACACAATGCTGACAGAGACACAACCTGTCTATCAACAACCAAAACCAACACAAATCAATGTCTGTCAGTCACAGAACACTTTAAAACATCAATTTTCCAGGAACCTGAAACATCCCCATCCTTATCACATATAGAGCATGATGACTGTCACAAGTACTTCAGCCGTTCTTTCACATTATATTTATCTGAACAACAAGTTGATCTGTCTGGGTCACATTCTCCAGCTTTTTTAATACTGTATGCATTTTATATTTCTTATATACAATTTGCTAAAAGATGGTACACTTTGGTTGTACCACAGGTTATTAGTATGTATAAAAGAAAGTATATGTACATGCACAGTTACAATGGAGCTACAGCAGGGTCAACCGTAGTCAGATTAACGTAAATACTGAACTACAATCTCATTATCTAGGTCTGTAAGTTTGACGTCACAAAAAGAGTATGATACACAGAAAAAAAAATTGTCAGAAGCACACTGAAATAGCAACAGGGATCTTCTTTCCATTTTAGAGAACATTGAATTGCATAAAAATGTCATATATGCCCTTGAATATTTTTTTAGTTTTTAATAAAATTAAATATTAAATGAGTAGCTGTCTCTGCTAAAACAGTGTTTCCCCACCACTGTGCCTGACATGTTGTCGGGTGTGCTGTGGAAAATTATCAAAAACTTCCTTATCTCCATTATATTTTGTTATTATTTTGTCAGTTTGTGAGTTTTACAAATATTTAACCAATGAACAGCATTCAAACGAGCTTGTGACTAAACCTAGTAACGCCATTGGATCTTCAAATTGTCAGTCAAACCTCATAACTCCACCCCGCCGCCATTCAAAATGAAGTGCCGCGATGCGCAGTTTGAAGACAGAAGTCTACTTCTTTGCAATGCAAGGGTAAATAAAGAACTGATGTTTGAATAAGTACAGCGTTTTCTTTACTCAAGAAATGCTGTTTATAAAGGCTAATGTTTTTGTGTATAAAGGCCAGAGAAGAGTCTTAGCATTTGCTGTCTAGTTGTAGCCAATACACTTTTGTACATTTTAAATATCATAGCTGTTCGTCTTTTATATCGTGAGATTTTGGCCAAATGTATTAACAACAAGAGAAACTGAGCGCCTATATAGCTACAATAAACTTTATAACCTGCAAACTGGTGAAAACGTGATGCTATTAATTTACTGCCTCAGAGGCGGCTGTTCTAATGATGGACAAAACACAGATTTCTGTCACTAGCTCGTCAAAAACCTCATTAACTCCATTTGAGTATGATTTTCAGAAATTAAGTGCAAGTGTCTGATCATATATAAAGCCAAAATACCAACTCTGATGATGCAATGTTTAATTATTGGGAAAGAAATTAATAAAAAATATGTTTCTCCTTTCAATCTATCTATCTTTTTTTTTTTTTTGTAATGCTTAGTGGTGTGCAGTGGGATTTTTTGCATATCGAAACTGTGCCATGGCAGAAAAAAGGTTGGGAAACACTGTGCTAAAAGACCATTTTGTCAACTTTCAGGAGTACAATAGAATGAAGAAGCTCGCATAGCTAATAGGTATGGATGGGAAGCCACAAAACTCTCTTTATGATTCTTTTTAAAGACCTGTTTATGAAATTAAATTGTATCCGACAAAATTTGGCAGATTGAAATGAGGAAATCTCATAGCAGGGTTACGGTAAAAGATAAGATCTCTATTCATGTTAACAGAAAACCACAAATATTTGACAATTCCAGTTCACAATGAAGTTCACTTCACAAGGCCACCACCAGTATATATAATGCCTTCAGACAGTCATTCAGACATACACTCCCAGTCATCTATGAAGATTCTCAGCAAGTCAGGTCATCGTAGCATGCTAAGAATATTTTTTCTAGTCAACAGGATATGTTTTTCTGTTGCCCCAAATAGCTGCAGGAGACATTTCATTGCCGATGTATACAGATAAAGTATTTCAAAAGTCTACTGACCTGTATGAAGGTAATAGCTAGTGTTCTCAGTCTCGGGGTTGATTCTCCGGTCCTGGAGAGCAGATTATTCCAAGTCTGTTCCACACAATGACTGATCTCAGATTTGCCCAGCTGATGGTTGGGAATAAACTCACTCAGAATCATTCGAAGCAGATTCAGAGATGCAAGAAACACCTAAAATGCAAAAACAAATAGAGACAGTTGTTACTTTACACACTAAAATTCATATGCAAGGTTTATATTCAGAGTTTCTATGGTGCTTATAAACAACAACAACTTCATGTAAGAATCTGTCTCTGTGTACCCATTATAAATGACCATGTAACCAAAGAAAAATATTGAATATTACATTTTGAAATGTATTCATTAACACGGCATGTCTATTTTACAACCATCTGGAACCATTTTTCCTCAGAATTTCGATTTTAAGGTGCAATTACACACAGAAGCCATGTAAGAAACCACCTAAGACCTTTACAGCAACACATGGCGCAAAGTAACGGCAACTGGTCAGCTAAAGCACACAGTTAAATGCTGTGCTGTGTTAGTTTAGCTAAACAACCGTGGGGAGAGGGTCACTGGAATGTGTCCAGCAGTGGGCACATTGTTCAGACTCTCAGTACAACCATTTAAAACAGTTTAGAATGAAACTCTGAAAGGCTACAACTTTTACTGTGAGTGATTTATCTAAGGACTGACCGCACAATAAAAAAAAAACAGCTGTCACGTCACAACCACAAACATCCATGTACTTTGAGAATGCCAGTGGGCTAGAGTGATCCATTTACATGCAAAAAACAGCTAAACGTTCATTAATACACATTAAACTCAATGTCATGGCAAATTGTAAAAAAAAACTTTAATGATCAGTAAGATCCTGAGGTCAGTGCAAAAATTATGCACTGACCAACAAAAAAACTACGTTTAAAACAGCCTCACATACAAAATGTACTTTATGCAACACTCACTAATTATTTAATTTAATAAAAAATTAAATATTTATTAAAATATTTAAATGTATATATATATATATAGTTTGATGACGCCGTGACTGAGTGTGGAATCATGGGAGTTGTCGTCTTCATCCCCACAGCCGATGCAATCCGACGGGACTCGGGCAGAAATCATGTTCATGGATGAGCTAACTAGATAACACAAGTCAGCAAATTATATATCACTGTTCTAGTGGTTTTTGGATATTTTAATAAAAAAATCTTACATATTGTGCCTTTAATGTCAAGAATATTTCATACATGTCACTGCAGGGAGTAAAGAAAACAAATACTGTATGATAAGTTTATCAACAAGGAAAAATGTTTTAAATACTTTCTTTAGTAGATGGTTTATATGTCTTTTTGTATGTCCCTTATATCAGAAAGGGTCAGACTGTCAGTTTTATAATTAAATTTAAACAATTTAATATTACAGTTCCCAGTAAAGTTACTCTCTAAAATCAATTCATTCTCTAATTTAGTGATTTTAAGTGCTAATTTTGGCCATGGTTAATAGAAGCCACTATTAAAATGATGATAGTTTGTAACATCATAAACTACAAGAATTATCCGTTTGTTTTTCAGGCAGGTCCAGGTAATGTGTGTGAAAGTTCTACAAAAAAAATGCAGTCGATGTCTCTATTAAAAAAAGAAATTGGCCTTTTTAACTGTAAGGAACTCTCATTTCTACAGCCATACTGAGCATTACGATTCACCCAAATCTCCTGTTCATTTTTCTACAGTTTGTCCGTCTCCTCCCCCTCATACCCGCTCTTAGCAGAAAATCCGTTCTATCACAGTTTCCCTCAAACCTGAGGCTAAGTTCGTCCTTGGGAGAGATAAGCTAAGCTTTATACTACATTTATTGCTGTATCACTTCTACAGATACTAGACAGAACATGACACCTGCTAAACAGTCACAACTATCAGTCGAGCTGATGGTGCCGTTCTGTCTTTAGCCTGAAACCAAACTGAAAAGATGGGAACATGAGAGAAATTAGAAAGAGAGGGTCAGAGTAAGAAAGAGAGTAGGAGAGGCCGAGAAACAAAAGAAGGGGGTGATAAAATCAGAGAAAAAGACTGGGCAAAATAAAGATAGAGTAGGAGTTCTCGTACAGATGACACTTTATCTGTGAGAGCTTTCTTGCAGAGGAACACAGCTGCTCTCGTCATGCTCCGCAGTTCTGCTTTTGGGGTTCCAGGTGGAACCTCCATCAGTTTCTTGTAGACTGCCAGCAAAGCATCCTCCCTGTAGGACCACGTCTTGGAATAGGCCCCTGCCACCTTAGAGAGACAGACCGAGAAAGAGAAAGTGAGGATCACATTCCAGAAACAGCACACAAACAGAATACACCAGCTGACCATTTGACCTTTGTCATGTAGAGTTTGCCTAGTGCTGTGAGACAGTAAACAACAGTTATAGATGGACATTACAGCGAACTGTTAAATACTTAAAGGGATAATTCACCCAAAAACTTCAATTCTGCAATATTTAACTTAAAGGAGACATATTATGCCCCTTTTTACAATATGTAATATAAGTCTCTGGTGTCCCTAGAATGTGTCTGTGAAGTTTCAGCTCAAAATACTCCACAGATCATTTATTATATAATTTTGAAAATGCCTATTTTATTTATAACAGGCTGTTTTTCGGGCCTGTCTCTTTAAATGCAAATGAGCTGCTGCTCCCCGCCCCCTTTTCCAGAATAGAGCTGAGTCATTACAGCTCGAACCTGTTAAAAACATCTGTTTTGGTTCTGATTATCATGTTTATCGCGCTGAAATCATGCGTTTTAAACCATATGAGTTTAAACTTCATATATACAGTTTTCTGAGTGCACACGGACAGAAAGCAGCTGTCACTGCATGTGAGTACTAAACTAAGTTCTCATTCGCACACAAGTTTGTTCTCACAAGCACACATGAGTTACAAAAAACAGTCGGTTATGTCTGTGAAGGTAAACAGCTGGGAAATAAATCGCATGTTTATTTTAGATCTGTGTAGCAGCAGCAATATACAGTAAATAAATCAATAAATCCACTGCTCTGTTGTCTCCGCTGAGGCTGGGACTGTAAATAGTGTTCTGTGCTCGTCTGTGCAGCCAATGACAGAACAGTTAGCATGTTTTGCTCAAACTTTCGCCATGGCATTAGAGCTGGTACACCGTTGTCGCTTGTACACAATAACGGCACCGTGGGTGTAAACTTACAGATTAAAGGGCGGTAATATTATAATGAGATCCCTTTGCCACGTCACCAAGGGAGCGAAATCAGACGCACTCGTTTTCTCAGACGCTTGCAGAAAAAGGCTTACCAAAACAAAGTTACTGAGTTAATCTTTTTCACGTTTCCTTGGTTGGTAGATGCACCGGGGACCTGATTATAGCACTTAAAACCTGGAAAAGCCTTTAACTTCATGTTATTCCAAACCAACTAGACTTTTTCGAACTTCTTTTGAACTTGTGAATCAGATATGTATGATTCGCAAACAAATAATTTAGACCTGGTTTGTAAATACTCTGATAAAATCAACTAACTGGAGGCTGTAAATGTTGGGTGTCTCACCAGACTGTCTCCATAGATGTCGATGGGCAGACTGGCCTCTCTCTGAGCTTTCTCTGTGAGCGGTTCTGGTTGTCCCGAGGCCCCAGGGCTACGTGGGGTGGTTGTATCTGTCATAGGGGGCATCTCATCAAGCTCACTGACTGGCTGATCACTCGACCTCTTTCTAAGTGCTGGTAAAGGCCTCTCGTCATAAGCAAGGGAACTGATCTGTGAAAACACACACACATACTCATGACGATTCCATGACTCCAAACATTTTTTAAGAATTCAGATATACAGTGTTTATAACCGTGTTTAAAAACAGAATTAAATGCCAAGAATAACTAATACGTGAACATAATTTTTGCACTTTCTGTCACAAGCAGAAATATAAATACTTGTATAAAAAAAGTGTAAATATAAATATATAAAAAATAAGAAATATAAAAAAGTGTTGAGGGTTTATTTTATACTGGAAGGATAGATCCACCTGCCATCCTATAATTTTCAATCACTATCTGTGTTCTCATCTTACATGTTATTTCAATGCTGATTAACAGAATGACCTGCAGAAAAACGAAAATGAAAGGTCCACTAAGAAAAGTAATCTGACAGTCAAATAACCCCTTGATAATTATATTCTTAAATATACCCACTTAAATTTTTTTTTCATTTTTTAGGATTCTTAGATGCATAGAAAGTTCACAACAAAAGCATTTATTTGAAAAGGAAGTCTTCGGTATTATTAGAAATGCCTTTACTGCCACTTTTCTTAACAAAACAATTAGTTGCTTTCAAATAAATAAATAAATAAATATATATATAAATTATATATATATACTGACCTCATTTTAATTTAAAAAAATATCTTCCAGAAGTGTGTAAAAATTTTGCCCTCTGGCATGGTTTAAAATGCAAATTTCTGGCTAATGCAAATCCCTGACAAGCATGTTAAGCCACACACATGTTTAGATAATACATCTACAAAGAGCCTTGTGTAAGTGAAGAATGAGCTACATTGGTGGAAAGAAACAGAAGCAGTGTTTCATCAAGGCAGACTGAGGATTACAGCAGAAAGTACCCTTAAAACTAGAATTTGTGATAAGATATATTAATGAACAAGAAAAAAGTACACAAGTAATGCATTAGAACAATAACATCATTATTTTTCTGTATTTATTCTGTGTATATCAAGACTTACATCGAGCTTGGGGATGTGAGGAGGAGTGAGGGGTGTTGGGGCGACTGTATGTTTGGGACTAGCAGCTTTTGAAGTGTCCTGCTCATCTGTCTCCTTCACATGTTGCCTCTGTCTTCTCTTCCTGGGTGAGTCTGCTGGGTGAGACGTGTCTTTCTGTGTCCCAACACGTGGAGAGGGAAAATCAGAGATGGAAAGCTCAGATGTTCTGTGGATCTGAAACAAGTTTCACACATTTTTAATTATTCACATTTGAACCAAAGTTCATAAAAGCTATTTATCAAAATTAAAATAAGTCTGAAATGAATAAAAGGCTAAAAAGTGTTGAGAACTTTGGACTATTATTTTTCAGACACTGATTGTATGAAAAAAGCAATTACAAACTACAGATAAAGGTTTGTCAGAATACTGGCTCGGTTAAGTGTGTGTCGCAAGCGCTCGATGACTGTCCGAGTCATTTATTGTCTGCTGTATAAATATGTCTCTTGGCTTCAGACGAGTAAGAAGCAAGCACCTGATCTCAGGAGAACCAGCACAATCACTATTCCGCTGGGAAACTGCCATATCAGTGTACTAATCTCTCTGGAGCTGGAGGCCCTCACAACACAAGAGATGCATTATTCATGCATTCATTGCAGGAGAAGAAATTTAGAGAGACACACAGGAATATGGACGGATGAAAGTCATTAACTGACTTCTAAGAATTAAGTGCAATGGATATGGAAGCCCGTTTCCGCCACTGAATAAAAAATAAAAAAAGGGTTATTGCGACTTTTTGAAAAAAAGTCAGAATTGTGAGATATAAACTCGCAATTGCGAGTTATAAAGTCAGAATAGCGAGATATAAACTCACAATTCTGACATTTTTTCTCAGAGTTGCGTGATATAAACTCACAATTGCGAGTTATAAAGTCAGAATAGCGAGATATAAACTCGCAATTCTGAGAAAAAAAGTCAGAATTGTGAGTTTATATCTCGCAGTTCTGACTTTATTTCTCAGAATTGCGACTTTATGTCTGGCAATTGCGAGTTTATATCACGCACTTCTGACTTTTTTTCTCAGAATTGCGAGTTTATATCTCACAATTATGACTTTTTAACTCGCAATTGCGAGTTTATATCACGCAATTCTGAGAAAAAATTTCAGAATTGTGAGATAAAAAGTCGCAATTACCTTTTTTATTTTTTTATTCAGTGGCGGAAACGGGCTTCCATAAATGGATGGATGGACACCTTTAATGTATAATGTATTTTCAATGTTTTTTGAAAGAAGCAAACACACAGTAAAACAGTAAAATTCTGAAATATTATTACAATTTATCATAACTGTTTTCAGTTTTAATATATTTAAAAAATGTAATGTAATTCTGTGGTGGCAAAGGTTTTCAGATTTTGTTCTTAAGAAACATTCATTATTATCAGTGTGCTCCTTAATATTCTTGTGGTAACCATGATACTTCTTTAAAAGGATTCTTTGATTAATAGAATGCTCAAATAATTTTTTGTAACATTGCAAATGCCTTTACTGTCACTTTTGATCAATGTAATGCATACTTAACGAATAAAAGTATTAATTTTATTTTTAAAAATCTTATATAAAATCTTATTGAACCCAAAATGTTGAACATTAGTGTATATGTGGACAAATGAACGGATGGATGTTTACCTGACTGATGTCCAGCAGGTCATGGAGCTCCAGCTGTTGGTAGACTGTGAGCCTGTAAGCTTCCATTTGTTCCTTTTTCTGCTTGGCTGTGTCATAGTCCTCTCTTTCTATGGCACTGTGTTTCTCTACATCATACCAGCCCAAACGCTCGCCCACCTAAAAAGAAAAAGAGAAAATTTGAAAAAAAAGAAACGAGAGGTTGTTAAACACTTATCTGAGGTATATAAAAAAAAAAGAAGACATCTGTAATTTGCTTAGTAATTACTGTCAGGCTAAAATTAACAGGTAACTAAAGGATTGTTACGGCTCTATTGGAATACACCTGGATGCATTTCAACCCTCTCAATTCCAGCTTCACCACTGCAGTGTGTAAAATTATTATAAAACTACATATGCAAACAAAGATGTGTCTGACAAAGAAGGTAAATCTAATAACCTTTTGCAGGTCTGCAATAGCTTGTTTGAGTTTTTTGGCCAGATCAAATCTTTCCTCCTGAACCATGTCCTGCTTTTTCTGGTCCAGCAGCCGAATGATATGGGCCACCTCAGGGTCCTGATACATGTCAAACGCCAAGTCATCGAGCGGCGAGATAGAATCACATTTATAACTTGAGAGCCTGCAAGATAACAAGAGTAAACACAAGAGAAAGACAGAAGACTGCATGCACAAATTTAATGTAATGCAATATAACTTCAGTTTTTACCCGGTGTATGTGCCCACCAAAGCTGAGTTGTATTGGCTGTTGTTTAAATATTGATCAATCAGCTGATTTCTGCTTAGCTGGGACAAAAACAAGAAATTGGCTAAATGTTATTGTACTTGTTATTGTATAAAAAAATCTTTCAAAAGTTTGAACGGGGGGTCAGTTTTGAAAGTAATGAATGCTTTTATTCAAAAAGGATGTATTAAATTTATTAAAAGTGGCAAATAAGTAAATTTTTTTCATCAAAGAATCCTAAAAAATGTATAATGGTTTACCCCCAAAAAATCTGTTTTTGACATTGATAATAATAGGAAATGTTTCTTAAGCACCAAATTAAGTATATAAGAATGATTTCTGAAGGATCATTTGACAGTGAAGACTGGAGTAATGATGCTGAAAATTCAGTTCTGCCATCAAATAAATAAATAACTTTAAATGTATTAAAATACAAAAGAGTAATTTGTAAATTGTAATAACATTCACAATTACTCCAGTGTTTTTCAAAAAAAATAAATGCAGCCTTGGTGAGCATAAGAAACTTATTTCAAAAACATTAAAAAAAAACTAACTTCAACTTCAAACATTTGAACAGTAGTGTACATAATATACTTATAAATTTAAATTCTGAATTTAATAGCCTAAAAACAACATCCTTTGAATCAAATGTCTTTCGGCTATTAATATCTTTCCAACAAACAAAGGTTAAAAATCTTGATTTCTGCCTGTGAACCAAAACTTATTATCACTAGAGTCCTGGATAACACAAAGAGACTCCAGCCTGGACAGAGAGAGAAGGATTAGAGATTAACAATGCAGAGATTGTTAGCAAGGTGGGAGAGGACGAGAGAGAGAGGAAGTCGTGGAGGGAAAAAAAGGGGGGGAGACAAGGTGAGCGTAAGACAAGAAAGAGAGCATGAGAAAGAAAGAAGGGGGTAGTGGGATAAGCACGGTGATATGGATATATTGATGAGTGATCTGATCTGAAACTCTGCTGTGCTTATGGAGCTCAGACTCACATTACACAGATCCACATACCAACACTGAGCACAAAACATTAGACCTGCTCAAGAACCACAACACGCATATACACAAAAATGATTGTCAGGTGCTGTAAGAAATTATTCCTTCATATTTAACCTGAAAGTCACAAAAAAACTGATGCATGCATACAGGCATTTAGATGAATTCTGCTCCATCTAGTGGTTGGTATGAGAAGCATCCAAATCAGGGTTAGGCAAAACAGAATGTAAAAATTGGCTTTCAATTCACAGGAATTTCATTCATCCAAAACAACAGTGCATGTTTTGCGTCAAAACAGGACTGGTTCATTTTAACTTATTAGCCATATTTTTTAAAAATGAAGTTAATTTATAGTATCCAAATGATAAACTTCATGAACGAAACATATCTTCATTTTACCATACATAACCAAAACATAAATAAATAAAAATATATTTTCAGAATATTATCACTTCTTAAAACACCAAGGGGTACTTCAAGTAAATTATTTAGGTTATTTTAAGATAACAGATTAATTTAGATAAATGTACATAAAATGTGAGTAAATTAAGATTTCATTCCATTTAAATTCTACTTCCACAAATTAAAATCAACATCCTGCTTTTAGCATTAATTCACATTTGGGAGCAGAACTACAATTTCAAAAGTATTCTCGATTCAGTTCTGAATGATAAACAACACTGCTCCAACTGCTCAGCCAAACACTGAGGAATCATTCCCAACATCCGCTATCGTCTCTGGTGAATACAACAACTGAACAAGCCACAGTTAAGAAAACAGATGAAATCTTGCATGTTAAATTTGTTTGTTTGTGCAATTCTAATCTGATACAGAAACATGCTTAACAGAAATCCATCGCCATCTAGAGGATGTGAAGAGAACAATTCCATAAACTGAACATTTACTTACTGCTGTCCCCATGTCATTTCCATCCACAGGGTCACCCAAAATATTTAGGGCCACCAATGCAACCTAGAATTTAGAAAAGAATGTGATATAACATCGATATGATTACAATAAACAAATCAGCCCTAATTTCCCACATGAATCTGTTTGTACCTGATTGTAGATGTTGTATTGATTAACATGGTTTCTGTGAAAGGTGAGCTTTAAGTAAGACCCAACAGCATCAACATGAACCGACTTTAGCTCTCTGGCTCTGAAACCAGTCTTCTCGTTGTCAGAGAGGGACACATACCTAGACAACACATTACACTCAATACAGTTAGTTCTTAAAGGTCCCATATTGTCAAAACTGAAATTCCCTGGCTTTTTTCTATGATAACTGAGGTCTAGGTGCTATGTAACTACCATATAAGTTTCAAAACAGTCAATCCACAGTCAAATGCACACAGCCTGCATAAAGTAGCTGTGATTTTTCACGAACCCCGCGCCACCGGAGGTAGTGCACGTGACGTCACACACTCTATAACAAGCATAATACAAAGTTTTGTATAGAAGTATAATAATAGTAACAGTTGCAAATTGTTTTATTTAGACTGTAAGTCTATGCTAATTCACAAATTACCTCAAACGCCATACACGGCGTTTGATCCTTTAGGTTGGCAGGTTTGAGCGCAGGAAAATACAGTACAGAATACAGAAACCAAATACTACATCGCCGATCTGGAATCATTTCCATTCATGTCACCCATCCGCATTTGTAAAAGTGTCTTCAAGTTCACGTGATCGCAAACGCTCAGCTGGTCAGGTTTGTATTTACTGCATTCGGTGTTTGAAAAAAAAAAAAACATGAATTACCATTCTGAAACATCCTGTTGTAAGCGCGTTTGAGGAGGTGGTTGGTTGTCTCCTGTCGTCACCGATTCAAGGTCTGAGTTCGGCTCAAACATGTAAGGCCCGACAACATTCAGCAGTGACCATCATTACCGGTGTTTCTATTGACCTTACTTGTGAGTATCACCAATCCACAGCAGGCTACAGAATACATGACCCTAGTTACTTGTTTACGTGGTTGGCCTGGCCATGCATCACTCAGAAAACAACAGGCCAATCAGAAGAGAGGCTCATGAATATTAATTAGACAGGCCAAAATCGACCTGTTCTTTGCAGAGCTCCTGAGAGAGGAGCTGTAAAAATATATTGAGATGGTTTTTGGTACTTATACCGCAAATATATATTCTTAAGGACATCAAGACTTAAAATAAAACTCCAGAAAGGTGTAAAATATGTGACCTTTAAAGAGATGTGATTAGGTGTTATATACTTAATCACATTATATGTTGATGATGACCAGAACAGAGCAGTGATGTTTAGATCTTTCCTCACCCCAATCTGTGGAGACTATGAGTCTGCTGGGGTGAGCTGGACTCAGGCAGTCTATCTCCAATGTGGAACTCGATCTTGGATGGGATCAGGTACTGATGGGCCAGTAGTTGGAGTTTCCTGATGCGACATCTCTCAACCAACTGCAATATGATTTCCTGAGGGAATGGACAGAACCTACACACAATAATTAGAAAAAATATTCCTAAAAAAGTATTTCAGAATGTAATCTTTGGTAAAAGCAACCATGAACAGTTATTAAATAGCTTTGATAAGTATAATGAATCAATTATTCATCTTACAGCTACAATTTGTCTTTTTAACCAATCCTAACTACAGCACGGTGAAAAGGTTTTTGCACCTTCCTGTTTTATTTATATTTGTGTTTTTGCTTATTTGTCACACTTAAAATATTCAGATCATCAAACAAATTTTAACATTACAAAAAGATGATGCAAGTAAATACAAAATGCCGTTTTTAAATGATGATTTCATTTATTAAAGGGGTCATATGATGCGATTTCAATTTTTCCTTTCTCTTTGGAGTGTTACAAGCTCTTGGTGCATAAAGAAGATCTGTAAAGTTGCAAAGACTAAAGTCTCAAATCCAAAGAGATATTTTTTATAAAAGTTCAGAGTCAGCCACACCTACCTAAAACGGCTCGTTCTAACACACCCCCACATACCTACGTCACGATCTCGGAAGATTTGCATAACGCCGCCCAAACGTTCACGCAAAGAAAGAAGGCGTAACTTATATTCTCGCTGTAGTATTGTTG